AGTTTTTCGTGTACCACTGAATCAAAGGCTTTACAGAAGTCTATGCAGATTGTGTCTACTGCTTTGCCCTGATCGAATTGTGTAGTCCATCTGTTTTTGCAGCATAAGAGTTGCAGATTACAGAGGTTGGCTTTAATAGGTTGGTTGATTAAAGAGGTTGGCTTTAATAGTGTCATCGTTGCAGTCTTTACCATTAGTCCTTTCAGGGATGGGATGTACTTTGAGTCTTTTAGTTTGTTGTTTACAAAATTGTAGAAAGTGCGGGTAGAATTGGTGCATAGAAGGTTTTCTTCTTGTTTAATGTGATAATCTCCAAGCACTTTTGAATTGAGCGTTTACTGAGGAATGGAGCTCTTTTCTGGCTTTCTGGCAAGTCTAGGGAGTTAGGCTTTCCACCTCGCTGGCTAGACCCACAGGGATTTGAGGGCTTTTTGCCTGGCGCTGCCTGTGCCCGCTGGAGCTCCTCATGCTGCGCTACTGCCGACGCCATCTGTCTTGCACCTTACTTGGTATTATATGAATATTCAAGAGGTCTGGTTTCTGAATAGTCATAATGTAATTGCTTTTCAGAAAAGGAAATTTTTTAAAGGTTTATAGAGAACATCAAATGCTATAATAACACTTGGAATTCTGTTGATAGGGCTGTCAGCATACAGTGTGCGTGCTTGAAAACATACTTGCTCTTCAAAACATCTGCTATAGAGTTATAGAAGTGTATATAATTAAACTCTTGTCAATGTGATAGCTTCTGTCCTTGGGAAGTAATAATTTACCATCCCTCTGAAGATCTGATTATACACATATACCCTCAATTGGGAAATACTCTGGTGAAGAAATGGGAGGAATATGTTCTTTTGCCTGAAGAGAAGGCTGTGATTTGAAAATTGATTTTATCTGTAATATTTCAAAGACACAGAATGCCCCAGGTTTACTGTATCACCTTTTTTAGCCCATATTCTTGAATAAATCCAACTATAACTATCTATATTGAACATATTACTGCTGAAGGTAAATTCAATATACAGAGGTATTCAGTAAATATGCCTGAAAATTGTCACAAGTTTCTATTTGCACACTAAAAAAAGATTCCTATAATTATGTGTCTTAAAATAGATTTAATTCAGACTAAATTGATGCAATGTTAAAGATACTAGGGATTTATTGAGTAATCTGAAAATTCATTTGTCTTAACTATACTCCTATAAGAATAAAAAAGCCTTAATAAATTACAGTATTGTGACTCAACGTCCTCCAGAAACTGTGAGGAATTCGGAAAATTCATGTGGTGAAGTCTCAGAGAAAAATCCAGAAACATGAATCCAGATTGTCTTTGTGTTAACTCATTTTCTCTCTGTGTTTCATTTTAAACTCTAATTTAAACATAGTATTGTGGCTCCGATTCCCAAGCCTGTGCTGTTAGAGGAAGAGGACTTGGAAGATGAGGAGGAAGAACTGGGAATGCCTTCCTCCCCAGGACCTTCCTCTCTGGTAATGCCTTCCTCCCTGATAATGCCTCAAGTTTCACCGGATAGCTGAGAGGAACAGCCTGGGATTAATCAGGAGGAAGGCATATCGGAGCAGCCCCTGACAGGGAGTCAAGAGGAAGAATGTTGGCTTGATCCTACGCAGTGTCGTAGGGAGAAATGTGAGCAGCAACGTAGGAGGTGTGGGAGGATCAGAGAGTGAGCTGAATCATTGAGCCACACCCCACAGGGGATAAAAGTGGGTGTGTTGTCGGCTGGAACTTTGTACGGGACAAAGTTTAATCTTACTTCAGGTTTTCTTTGTGAATGATTTTTGTGGTCTGCCTTGTAATTGTCTGTAAGTAGCTTTTTACTTGTTATCAGTTCGGACTTGGCAGGCAGAGCATGTTGGAATGCCAAGGACATTATCAGTTCCAAAGAATTAACTCTGTGAAGTCCGAGACAACTTGCCTGCCTGTGTTTGTGTGAGTTTGTACTCTTTCATCTTTTGGGAAGAAGAAAGGTGAGACAGAACACATAGTACTCAACAGAATATCAAAATAGCTGATAAGGTACAATAACATTAATACTTTTTAAAGTATATCTTTATATGGTATCATTTAACATACCTCCAGTAAGATAAACATTTTAAAATATTTTCAAAAACTATTTTTAGAACCTAGAATGAGAAAGAATACAAAAGAAAATGGTCCCGATGAAGTTCTATTGCTTATACATCTGCCATCTTTTATTTTTTATTGGTTAGCATTTTTTAATCTGTGCATCTCATAGAATACTGAGATTCAAGATATTACTAAGAAAATCAAATAGTATGTTCCTTTTTATTTTAGTTGCTCAAATTTCTAAAATATTGTTATAAATAAAAGTTGCAAATCTTGTAGAACTATGTAGAAAAACTGATTTGTTTTGTTAGTGAGGAAAAGTGGTGGGGTAGAAAGATGATGTTTGCTTTCTCAGATAGAAGTTTAGCTGAACTTTTAAAAGCAGACAAACCAGATTAAAACAAACAAGCTATCAACTTTGGATTCAAAAGCTCCTCTCCCTAGTATATACTCTGACTCAGTTCTTATTTATATGTTCCATCTATGTCTTCTTCCTATTTCCTTACACACCTACACGAAAATGAGATATGCTAACCTAGAACCTACATTCAAAGAGCAGATCTGAAACCAAGCTTGTCTAATAGTCTACTTCAGCTTTCTCAATCTCTATATCTGTTGTGTTACATTTCACATCTTTCCCAGAAAACATGTCCACAATATGAACGTTTCACTATTCTATTTCATCAGATTATTTGTTTAACTTATAAATATATTAGATTAAAAATAATATCACCTGCACCTTTTAGTTGCAAGTGCCATCAATTTAATTTTTTAGAGGTATTTCATCACTGAGCTATAATATGTTATTGTATTATACAATACAATATATGTATTAGTACCATTAAAAACCTTGTTAATATAAACTGCAGGCTATTGTGAAATTAGTGGAAGGGCAGTAGCTAGATAATGTAACATCTGATTTCCACACAGAATATCTCATGCTTTATCTTGAGTATGTCTAGATAAGATTGAAGCAATCTCTGGTATAAATGAAGCCTGAAAAATTGCTGACAGTTCCACTGTACAAAATCAGATATCAATGACCTGACGTGTAATATGTTCTTGTTTTATTGTACCACAAAACAATATGTGCAATGTTGATATGTTGATTTTTTTATTCAATTCCATATTTTTAGTTGCAACATTATTGATTAAGGATGTTTCTCAATCCTGGCAACATGAATATGTGGAATTCTCTTCTAGAATTCCTCAATTAGCAGCCCATCCATTTTCAAGTGGTCAGGGTTGAGAAACATTGGTGTAGACTAACCCGCACTCTTCTTCTGATACTTTGCCAATGATAACACAGCCATCAAGCCTCTCATACTTGTGCCTAGGCCACCTTCTAAAGATGTCAGAAATTGTTTCTGAAATTGCGAATAAAGGCTAAAGTTTAATGGAGCAAAATCTATTGTTAAATCACCTTTATTCATTGGCATACTATAATAATTTGCTTCTGCAAAGATTAAAAGGAATGAGAATGGTTAAAAACTGAAAAGTTTAACTGTAGAAGTTCTTTTAAAAAAAACTTGGAAAACATTCTTAGATATGTTTGATCTACATGCATATTGACACACAGTTTTCCATTCCAAAGATCCTTTTCTTTTTCAGTTTTCTTCCTACTAACATCTCATTGTGTATCATATAATTAGGCTTCCCTAAATGTGGTAGCCTCCCTCCTTTGGCCTTGGCTCTTTCTTCTTGCAAATTTAGAGTTGTACTAGTGTTTTCCAACCAAACATTTTGGCACAAGTGAGAATGGAAGTCTCTATCTGTTTCAACTCATATTTGTGCTCTTCCGAAGCCCCTTGCAGTCCCTCTACCCTGTTTCTTTGATATAATTTATTTTTCCATTTAAGCCCTAAAGATTTTGTTTCATGATAAATGATTTAGTTAGGAAATACATACTGGATATTATGACTTCATGATACATTATAACCACTGCGTCTGATTAGAGATAAATGTTACAAAGCTAAATCAGAATAAGGGTAAATGCTTCCTGTCATCAGTTTTAGAGATGATCAGGAAACACTTTTGCTGTCTCTTACAATATTTTTACAGTTGTTGAATTGTAATAGTATGTGAAAATGTATTTGGGAGACATGAGGGAGAGCTACATGAGGAAAACCATGCAAAAGATATATCAGCCCACAGAAGGAGAGAGGATGTGAGAAACGTTTTCTTTCCTGGTTTTCCACAGAGCAAAAGAACGGGAGAAATACTTTCAGTCCTGTAAATTCCATTAATGTAACCCATCAATAAAGATAGAGTGAGTACCTGGATGTGCTTGTCTAAACTACCTCAAAGGGTTAATTTGAAATCTAATAATACCTTGGTTTTATTCAAATTTCTGCCTCCTTTTGAGCTGTGTTTGCTAAAGACAATCTTTAATAGATATTGATTTAAAATGATTAATACATTGTAAATATTCTGTCTATCATTTTGCTTTCTTATAAATATTATGATTATTGTCCCATTATATTTACATATAAAACCTCCTCTTTTTAATCAGGAATTTGTCCTCATGGTGATGAACCTAAATAAATTTCCAGTGAATAGCAGAAACATGAGGCAGGTACAAATTAGATAAAACTAAGCTGTAATTCTCAAGAGACAATATAATGATGTGCATGTACATCACACCATTAGAAAATAACCAATATTCCAAAAGTATTGTAAAACTGTTGATTTATTTTTAAAGGTTAATTGCAAATGTGATCTAGAAATTTCTAGACAACTATTCCTTTATAACAATAAATTACAATAATAAATTTTATAACAATAAATTCTAGCATTCCTAATCAAGAAAGAGAAGAAAGAGTGCTGAATAAGCACTTCTATGAATATGCAAAGACATTTTCAAGAGCAAAGTACACATGACATAGATTTAATCCTTGAAGATAATACAGATTTCACTTTACCTGACTGCACCAGTCCAGGAAGGCTGGAAGTGAGGGATGAAGTCTTTAAGCTTTCTTCCTTGGACCCTGCTGACATTATTGATAATTTTTAGAGAAAACTATGGATCTGATTGTGATGAAAAAAATAGACCCAAAAGGAACATTAATCAGGCACAGTGAGTACCATTCTTGACATTTTGCTTGAATTCATACAGATACAGAAAAGAGTTGTCATAGGAATAGAACAAATTATGTAGCTTCATTAAAAAATTTTACAAGGTATTCTTCCCTTTGACATATCAGGCCTCGTATGTCATCCGAAGGAGGCAATTTAGTCTTCCACACTGGCTCTACCAAGAATATTGAGTTCAGAACTGGATCACAGGGCAGAATAAAACTTAATGAAGAAGACCTTGCTGATGTTTTCAGTCAGGTAATGATTTTGATCTGTTCTTCATGACATTATTAATAACATTATTACTATCTAAATATAATTCTTCAATAATGCTCGAAGCTTCAGAAAACCAGATTTAAATAAGTTGACATATATGTGATGATTCATATACAATCATATGAATCATCATATGACAGAGTTCTCTTCATTCACTGAGAATTATGTTTGCTGCAATTGAGAATTGGTTATTCCTTTTCTTTCTAATTATAGATCCAAAGAAATAAAGATGAAATTCTAGAACTAAAAAGACTCACCAACACACCTCTCAATCTTTCTAGTGAGATCATCCAGCTTCAAACCCAGGTATTTTTTAATATCTCTTATGTATCATATATTGGTGCATCAAATACAAATACCACCATTTAACTATCAAATTAATTGTTTAACTTGTTGTCCTGCAAAATAGTTTTTATGTTCTGCTTGTGAATCCTACATTTTATGCCACACAAGAGCAGCCTATGATATCTGTCCATTTATATATTATTTTTATTGCCATAGTTGATATATAAAGAATAAAATCTATATTTAACTACTGCCAAATATGAATTGTTTGAACTAACTGTAAATTTTTAAAAGAGAATAATTCATTGCTTGTTAATGGATTAATATCTTAACTATTGGACAATTGGATGTTGGTTGGGACCAGTACTACTTTAAGAATAAGAAGGACACTTCATGTAGATGAGGAAATAGAATCTGAAGGGTAATGAAGTGTTAAAAGGATTGCATAGACCAGGGGTGTCAAACTTGATTTCATTGAGGGCTGCATCTGGGTTGTGTTTGACCTTGGGGGCCAGGTGGGTGTGGCCAGGGTGGACATAGCCAGCTTGACATCACTTGTGTCAGGGGCACCCCTCCCAGGCTTCGTTTTTGACTGTGACGGCATCCTGCAGTACCAGAGAAAACAGAGCTTGGGAAGGCCACATGCAGGCCTTGAGTTTGATACCCTTGGCATAGACTTCTCCTGGATTTGTAGAAAGCCTTCATCTTTAGTAGAGGAGAATGATCCATTTAATTATTTTGAAACATGAACACCTACAATTGTAAGTAATAGAGTAATATATGATTGTGACAACAAATACCATAGATTCATGCTAATCTACATGACATTCTTTTTCTGCTGCAGATTGTGAATATTGAAGACAGACTTGATAATCTTGAGCTGGTGAGTTACATGATTTACACCTTTTATGTACTTTAGGGTTAATTAATTGCTAGAAGGAATAATCCTAAAAGAATGACTTTATTTTTGCTTTGTTTTATTCCAGACCTTTAAAAAGGCCTGTAATAGCAACCCTTGCCAGAATTCTGGAACCTGCATAAACCTACTAGATGCTTTCTTTTGTCTTTGTCCCAACAATTGGCAGGTAAGGTTCTTAATATTGCAATGTATAAAATGCACTCTGCACCAGCATTTTGCATTACACAAGAGTCAATCCGGTGCAATCAATCCAATTTATAAAAGGAAATCAGAAACTAGTCAAAGGAGAGCTTTGCAACAGAACATGCAACAGAATAATGTGGTGCAGGAGATATTTGTCAATAGGGTAGACTAAGCAGAAATTATCAGTTGCCATAGATATTAAGAGAACTACAAATTGGAGGCATTGTATACCACATAATTGTTAATCCTCCTTAGGCAGTGGAGTCAGAAGGAACATCTATTATCCAGGCTGTGAAATTCAGTTGCACTTCTAGTCCATTTCTGCATTCTGTCCTTGATCTCAAGCATAATTTGTCTTGGTCCAGACCAGTGGTCATATACGGTAACTTAGAGTGCATAATTCTTTCTCCAGATTTTTAGACCGATGTCTTCTTGGTCACTTGCCATTTGAGATCTTTCTCTCAGAGATGCCAGGAGTGGGATTTTTGGCATGCAAATTTGTATTCTGCTCTTGACTTCCATAACCTTCCCTTGTATTTAATACCTGACAACTGAAAATCTGATTATTTTGAAAAGTATACCAAGGATGGCTAGAAGGGAGCTACTTAGTGACGGAAGCCTTAGGTATTGAAAATGCATGTGCTAGCCAGCCCAAGAATTTTCAGTTGCTTACATTTGTTTGTGTTGTGATGATTCTTAATTGAAAAATACACAAGAGAGGGTGGTTTAGGGGAAAAAGTGGGAGGAGAGAGCAGAAATCATCACCCCAGGTACAAAATTATAGTTTAATTTGTGCAGACAAGCATTTTCTTTTTAAAAAAATTATGAATATATACTGGTCATCTAATATTATAGCAGCAGCTTAATTACCACACAAATGGCCCTATATATAATATATTTTTTCAGTAGAATGTACATTTCTTTGTATATCTAGTATCAATTTTTTAAAGCTTATAAATTTTTTTAAAGTATCTGAGCTGATTCTCAAAAGAGTTTTTGTTTTTTTACAGTATTCCTATGCTTTGAATTAAATGAAAATACACTATACTTAAATGAACAAGGAAAGTGCAGCCACAAAGCCAAGTTTTGTTTTATTCTTTATAAAGGAAGCATTACAGTGGAAAAATTGGATATTTTATACCAATCATTTTTACCTTGACAGCTTTAAAATATATGGATTTTGACTGCCAGATTTTGACTGCTTGCTGGAGAATTCTTGGAAATGAAATTCACACATCAAATTTCCCAAGATTGGAAAACTCTGTACCTTTTGAAATTTTATATCATATATTGGCTTGATGCACACTTTTAATCCCCAATTTATTTGGAAAATAAACTGTGCTTCTCTTTTCAGGGACCAGATTGTTCTATTGATGTTAATGAATGCCAGATTTATGAAGGAACATTCTTAGGATGCCAGAATGGAGCAACATGTATAAATAAGCCAGGGAATTACAGGTAATTTTAATGATTTTATGGGCAGCTTTTTGTATAGAACTTTTAAGTGCCACTTTTATATGAGAGAACATCTGTCCTAGTCAAGAGAACAGATGGATAGGAAGATATCAAATAGATATAGATGCTTTTCTAGGCCTTTCATAGTAGGACAGGTTCATGTTGCAGATCTCAAACTATATAATTTTACCTTTCACCATACAGGTAGTTTTTGATTTATGACTTGATTTATGATTTATTGCTGGAAATCAGAAATTAGCATTGGTTTTTTTTTAAAAGTGTTTTTAACTCATGATCATAGAGAACTAGCTGTACATTTTGGGCTTGATTTATAGATTCACTGGACTTTTCAAGAAGTCTAAATATGTAACACAACACCGATGCATCACATTAAAACAAAGGCCTAGACAAATACTGTACAGCATGTACAGAGTTGGTATCAGCATATGGCATTTTCTCATTTGAAAGTGCTGGGACAACTCATCATTGACCACTACCTCTGTTCTCCCTTTAAGGATGTTTTAAGATCAGATTTCAAAAACTTAGTCTTGGTCTTATTTTCCCCAGTGCCCATAACAGATCTCTGAGCAGTATCAAGAGGCAACATTCACCATTCTTATACTTTCCTATCATATTGTAGAATCAATACTATGAAGCACACCAGAAAGCTGGAACAACTATTGTCTTACATTTCCCAGAATAACTTTGAAGTGGATCCCAAACACTATTTGGAGACTAGATTTGTTGTGCTTGATCTATTGTAAGAAACAAAAAATATAGCAAGACTCAGAAGCTTAGCCCTCTGGGAATGCTGTCATTATCTTCAAGTTATCTATGCCATGATTCAGTGACAGAAGGATCTCTTCTATCTGGATAGACCACAACTTCCCTTTCATGGGGGGATAGAACTGACTACATGGGTGGTGGGGTGGTGGTGTAATTCAATGTGTTCTGTTCTGTATGTTTATAACAAATGTCATATATTACATTACACATTGCATTCTATGGATAGCACTTTAGATTTAGTTAGTTTAGTAACTTAGTTTAGCCTTTAGACTTAGTTCATTTAGTGACCATTAGAAGTTACAACAGCACTGAAAAAAGTGATTTATGATAGGTTTTTTTACACTTACGGCCAGTGCAACATCCCCATGATCATGTGATCAAAATTGAGACACTTGGCAATTGAGTCATATTTATGAAGGTTGCAGTGTCCCAAGGTCATGTGAACGCCTTTTGTAAACTTCTGAGAAGCAAAGTCAATGGCGAAGCCAGAATCACTTAACTACTGTGCTACTAACTTAACAATTGTAACAATTCACTTAACAACTGTAGCAAGAAAAGTTGTAAAATGGGGCAAAACTCACTTAACATGTGTATCACTTAGCAACAGAAATTTTGGAGTCAGCTGTGGCTGTAAGTCAAGAACCACCTACATATGTACAAAAACAAAGAAAAAAGTTCAACTCTTCAATACTAAATAAATGTTCTTTCTTTATTCTCTCAGCTCTACCTGTTTTTATTTTCCAGAAAAGCATTTGCATTATCCTTTTTTCTCAGAGTTCACCAAAATCTGGGCGAGATCTTGTTCATTAGTCATGATTCATTTAACTTGAGTTTTGATTTTAAAAAAGCCTGGCTTACAAATCTTCCTAACAAAACCTTTTAGATGAAAAGCATTTTTTTGTTTGACATTGGAAAATTATACTTAGTTTTATCTCTATAACAATAATTTATCTCTATAAATACCAAACAGACATTTTTTTTTGTTTTTTTGTTTTAGAAAATTTCATCATAGCTTAAAAATTTTTAAGTGAAGGCAAATTTAGAGCAACATTTATTTAAGATATATATTTTTTGTTTGGTTATTCAGAGGTTTTCAGTGCTTTCAGTTTTAAAATTAAGATCTTTTACAATAAGAAGCAATAGAACATAAACCCACTAAACTGTTTAATCCATCAGTCTCCTTTTGAAGTCTTCTAGTGAGGGATAGCTAACTGAATAAAATAATATATGAATAATAAAAGCATTTGAGTGTGTGTGTGTGTGTGTGTGTGTGTGTGTGTGTGAGAGAGAGAGAGAGAGAGAGAGAGAGAGAGAAAATACAGAGCAAGTAAATTATCCTATCAGTTGATCAACATCTTTTATTGCTCTACTATATAGCAATAAAAGATAATGATACTGATGAACTGATGGGATAATCTATTTGTTCTGTATTCTGTCTCTCTCTCTCTCTCTCTCTCTCTCTCTCTCTCTCACACACACACACACACACACACACACACACACAGGAGGAGGTGACGGAGGGAGGGAGAGAGAGGATGAGGGAGTGTCACACTGGGAGAAGTTGGAGCAACCAATAAATAGTTAAAAGCCACAAATGGGTGAAGCCCCACTTTTTGCCTCAAAATTATTTTTCTTCCTGTTATTCTTTTTCTTCTATCTCCTCAACCCAGGAAGAGTGCTAAATCAATTATTAGAGGCCTAAACTGACCTTTTACAGAGGCTTTTGAATGGGTGAAGAATAGCATGAAAGTTGGCCAAAGTTTGCAAGTTCCTCTCTCTGTTTAGATAATTGTGTCAAACACCAAGCAGCTGTGCAAGATCAAGGAAGCAAGACTTCATTAAGTTATCTTTAATCCTACATTAGGGTAAATATTGAATCTTGGAAGCTGTTCTCGGATTTCTCCATCTTCATTCATAGTAAGATAAAGATTCTTTGAATGATATAACACTTCTTTCCAGACTTCCTATAGGTTAGGTTGCTATTTATGAAATACCAGCTGACCTACTCACTATCTCTTGATTATTCCTGTTCTCTTTGTTTCACAGCCTCCCCACAATTTCTTATAAATTGCTTCAGGGTTTCAAATTATTCTTACTATAAAAGTGAGTTAATTAATGTTCAGTTAGAGCCAACTTCTTATAATTTTAATCAAATTAGATCCAGCCTCTGCCTCCTCTTGTAGCTAAAGGTCCTTTCTTACTCTTTTCTGTGAGACTATCCCTCATTGATGAAGAGACAGCTGAATCTGTCTTCTCACCTCTAATAATAATATTAATTTATTATAGTGTCTAGTACTCATTTCTGTATGAAGAATCAGTCTTGTTATTTTTTTCTAAGCCTGTTCAACGTTGTCTTCATCTTTTTTCAAAACCCTAAACATGATGCAGTACTCCAAATAAGCTACCACTCATAAGAAAAATATGGTTCAACAGTAGCTATTATATACGAGAGTTCTATACAGATAATCCTCAAGATATGACTTATCATGGAGCCTGCCCATTATGGTTGCATGTCATGTCAGTTGTTAGGTGAAACATCCCACCTAACACTCCCTCCATTCCTACTCTTCCCAATGAAATGTTGAAAATGTGGGTCACTAAGCCGAGCATGGGGTTCCTCCTGGGTGGGGGAGACCATTGGCGGCCTAATACAGGCCCTGGTCCACTATGGTCTCTCCACTTCGGATATGCCCCTTGTTCTACTTCTCACACCTTGGATTCCAACGGGTCTTTTCCCATTCTCACTGGGTTCTCCCAGGCCTTAGCCCTAATTCACTCTCCACCAGGCCAAAAACCTTTCTCCTTACTTACCTTCTGAAGAACTCTGAGGCTTTCCAGGTCACTGAAATAACTTCCTTCTTTGTGGCGGCCACATGGCACAGTTCCAAAAACAGTTGCTATTTTGTTTCACAAAAATGGCAGCCCAATTTGGGTCACTGCCGTGCAGCCCATTCTGTTGGCCTATCATGGTCTGCACAATGCTGCAGAAACTTTCTGCAGCATTCAGAAGCTTCTGCAGCACCGTGCAGACCTTTCTAAGGCAGCAAAATGAAGCATGTTAGGATCAATCACCCTTGTGCATCCTGGGGCCATGTAGCCTGCTGTCCTTCTACAATATGAGGTCCAAAACACTTCAAACAGTAAGTAAGGGGCATGATGGATGTGTGGGGAGGAAGTCCATGTGTTGCAGGCTTCCAGTGGGGTGGAGTGGGGAGAAAGAGGCAGGGGGTACTGCAGCAACCCTGTGCTGGCTTGTAAGGGTAAATAACCACAGAACGACTGCAGCTGTCATAACTTTTAAATTTGATCCTATGTAGCTTTTGGGGTCTGTTGTACATAATTTGGAGCATTCATTAAATGGCTTGTTGTACCTCAAGTACTACCTATATTCAAGGGATCTCATGCAACTTATTTCTAGATGTTGGACATAGAATAAGCATGGATATTATTCTCTGTACTTTCTCTGAAGGACTGCCGTTTGAAGCATAATTTGGGCCTAGAAACTTTTGATCTTCATTATTTTATGCGCCAAAAGAATTGAAAAGTTTGAACTGGGAATTTTTCAAAGCAACAGAATGAAGAGAGCTCCAAAAGTAAAACATAGGCTACCACATGTGTAGTAGTAGTAGTAAAATAGAAGTAATGCAGAAAGAAACCTAAAAGACTGATTAAAGAATAAATCTATTGCAACACAACTTGCACTGAGTCATAGCTTCGCTAAAGTTTGAACAGTGGGTGTTGGCTTCATGAATTCCCGAGCTTTATACATACAAGACCATAAAATTACAGGTTTACAAATTGGAAAGGACTTGGAAACTGTCTTGCTCAGCTTTATCTCAGTGCAAAATATCAAATGTAGAATGTTGTTATAGCATCTCAGACAAAAGGCTATATTTAGCCTCTGCTTAAACGTTTATCACAGATGAAGGCTCCTGAAAAGACTCTTGAGAACATGCAGAATAGATGATGTAATGATATTTTTACTTTTATTTGTACATATTTGAATATATTATTTCTATACATGAATATATTATTGATGGCAGACTCCACCTTCCCCACTTGCTCTCCACTTATCCATCCTCTGGTGATAATATTGATGTATTATTGTTGTTGTGTTCTTTTGTCATTGTTTATTTTATTGTTCTATTATTATACTTCTGTTTATGCTTTTTTCATATTTCTTTTAATTACTATAATATTCTTAGAGTAGCTTCTTAGGTGAGATAGGTGGCAAATATATTTAACAAATATTAATAAATTTAAACAATCATATTTTATTCTCATATAAACATATGAATATTCATACAGTTATAAATTCATGTAAATTTGTCATTATCAGCCAATGTAATAAACCAATTCATCATTGGAAAATCAATGAGATAAATGCAGGCTGTTTTATACAAGGGGACTGATCAAATTATTTCTATTCAATTTCACATACATTACCTCATAAATCCATTCCATTCCGTTACTATATCAACCTGCATTTTAAATTCATTCTTCTGTGTTTATTCCTCTGATTTTTTTAAAAAATAAAACATGTTTTTAAAAACATGTTGTTTTTAAGCTAAAGCTATATTACAATATTTGGAAACATGAAAACTGAAAGTAACTGTTTTTTGATTATTTAAAAGTGATAAAAACCATTCTACTATATGTTTTTTCAGTCATATGAAAGAGACCACATTCTAGCTGGGAAAACATTTTTGTTTCTATCAAATAGGAATTTTCTCTTAGAATATAATGTTTTTTTTCAAGGTGTAAAAGTGAAAAATAGAAAAAATACCAAGTCATCATGTTTAATGATGTGATGATTTGTTTAATGGCCAGAGTCAAAAACTGATCAACTGGCATAGTTAAGTCAGGAGTGATCATGTGATGTTTCACTATAAAATTGCATCATTTAGTGATAGAGTTACTGGCCCCAACTGTGGTTGGTAAGTGAGCACTACCTGTACTGTAAACACAATTAAAAATGATGAATCTGCCTGAACCAAAATCTTACACTGGAAGGAAGGAATATTTATATGAATTCATTATTGTTCTTTCAAAAGTTGCATCTGTACACCAGAAACATACGGACAGTACTGCACATCAGAATTTGATGATTGTCAAGGAGGATCCTCTCTTCTTTGTGGGCATGGGGTTTGTGTGGATGGAAACAGAGAACAGCACAATCAGGTAAGCAAGAGAAGCCTTGTATCAAGAGTAAACCTGCCAGGAATACTTCATTTAGATATGTGTGGAGTTATACTCAATTGCCCAAATAACTTTTTCCAAAACTTTGAGATATACAGCAATGCAGTTGCTGTATATCCAATTTCCTGGATCTAAGTCTTATTTCATTCCATTGTCCTTTCTGTTCTACTGAAGATTCCATTATCTGTGGAACTTAATCAAAATCAACCTTAGCTAGCCTGGGAATAATAAAATTTGATTTATATTTATTTGGTTAAACATGTAGCACAGCATTTTCTTAGAATACTGTGTCAGCATCCTTCTTCAACCTAAGAAAATGTTGAAGTGGAAGAAGAAATCTTCAGTGAACAAGGTCTCCATTAGTAGAATGTATCTCTGCCTGATTGTGGAGGATCTCCACTCCACCTATTCCAAAATTCCCCAGATTTTCTTAGTAGCATTTGGAGAAGGTTATGCAGATTGCTGGAGGAAAGAAGGGACAGGAATTTTTTGCTTTCAGAAATTGACTTCTATAAGCTTCTATCCTTCTTTGTAAAGTATTCTCCAGTTCTCACCATACTTTAGCAATATTTTATATGCATATTTTTAATTAATTCAATAATTCCCATGTTTTTAATTGCTACAAAATGTACAGCATTCATACTTAGTTTAAAAGGTGAGTCTCCAAAATGCTTTGAGCTCTTACTCAAATATTTTACTTGTCGTTGTAATAACTATAGTTGCTACAGACATGATTTCAAAGATATCACTATATTATTTGTTATGTAGTAGAATCTAACTTTGTCTTCATGATTGTACTTATATTTAAATCAGGAACCCATTTGATAACTGCAAGTCTGTGAATGAGCAATTTTTATTTTACCTGCTTTTTCAGATTATAATTATATAATTTGCCAAAAATAAATCAGCTAATGTCAGATTGGTGTGTTTCTTTCTGCAAGTTTAAGGTGTATTTGTTGTTCTACCTCTATTTAGTACATTTCATGATGTTCATTTCAGAGAAAAATATGGCTTTTCTTTTTCTAATATCAATATCTTTCAGTGCAAGTATGCACTAAGCTTTAATTGTTAGAGGAAGGAACAGAAAACCTGGGTAAATAAGATAAACTGAAATTGCATCAAGAATTTTGACATGTCAGATTCTAGAAGAATGCTTGGTAATAGTATTAGTGCTAATAGAAGAAACTCTTTTAGGGACATTTACAGTTATTTTCATGTTTACCTTATTTTAACCTGGCAGCCTAATTATACTTGCATCTGTGATGATGGCTGGATGTCGCCTCCAGGGAGCCTTGCTTGCAGTGCTGACATTGATGAATGCAGCCTTCCAAACCCACCTTGTTCAGTGAATCCTCCTGTACGGTGTATCAACATGCGAGGCTTTTATTTTTGCGATCCATGTCCAGCAGGTAAGCAATATTTCATAAATGTCCTCTTATTTGTTTCTCACGTGATTTAGCATTGGCATTACAAGGAGTTTCATGGTGCAATTACCTTCTTTCTGAGATGCTGTTTTCAAACTTTATATTGCTATGTTTGGGTATTCCTTTAAAAATAGTAACTCTTTGAATGAGAATTGGAGTGGACTTGTCTTTGGAGAAAAATAACTCGTTTGGCCATATTCAAACATAAGACTAACCTAGCATTTTTTTCAAAAGTTATTCGATAGCTGGGAGGGGCATGGAGTATAGCTGCCAAGATATTAATGAATTTGAAACAGGTAATGAAAGTTGTTCATCTTCCCCAATTGTTGTCTTTACACATTGGAATATTTTTATTGTAGTCATTGTCCACCTGTTAAACAAGTCTATATTAATTAGGTTCACCTTATATTACTGTCTCTGTGTTTGTATGTATGTGTGTTTATATATCTTTCCATCCTTCCTTTACAAATCTGGAACAAATGTATTCTTTTTAATTCCCTTGTTTGTGTTCCATATATATAATCACCCAACACATAACTGTATTTACATGATTCAAAAGTAAACAGTCCACTGTGTTTCCATACTGATTATTAGAGGAACAATGTTTTTTTCATTTCTGAATGAAATACAACATGATGTTGTATCCTATTCCATTTGGCTTACTTGATCATCTGAATAGATTGTATCCTCTCACCAACAAGAATAGTTTTCATCCTTGATATCCATGTAGTGAATTGTTAAATACAATAAATTGAAAGGTGCAATACGTTTTGAACTAGTTGTATTATATAAGCTATTGTTCCAGTTCGTACATGTAGCAAAAGCCTTGAACAGAAAGATTAACTCATAAAATAAAGTAACTTTTTACAAGATGCTAGCATAGTCAGTATCAGAAGTTGGAATTACCAGGCATTTGTGGATTTTAATAACAGAGAAAATGATTGATTATCAGGGCTCACTAGCTTGTTCTTCTATACATCTCCAATTGAACATTCACTCAATCATTTTAGCTAGAAGAAGAATGTCAATCAATAGTACCATATGAAACAAGGGAAGTTTTTTCTTAGGAAAAGACCCATCTGGAGAACAGGTCAACCATTGAAGAAAAGAAAAAAGGTTGTTGAGGACATCTTGTTCAACAGATATTGGCCAGAAATCTCTCTGATTTCTATACTTAACAATCACAATAGTGTAAGAATAATACAGACTCAGTTCAGAGAAAGGGCAAATGTCTAGGAGAAAATAATCATAGATTTCATACATCTTATAAAAAGAGAATGAAGAATGCTTAGCTTTGAGAAGAGAAAGCTGAAGGAGGGGTAGGGCTCTTCAAATACTTTGGAGGAAGTGACAGAGAAGAAATCCAAAGCTGCTTCTTGCATCATTTAATAATTTGTATCATCCAAGGCAGAAAATAATGGATTTTACAGGTTAAAAGAAAGTAGATCTTGACTGACTTTTAAAAAATTATATCTAATTGTAAGTTCAAACAAATGGCTCTGGAAGTGTTCACATACCAAGAATGGAATTTCCTTATTTGGGAATGATTGAATATCAGTTACTATACTAACACAAGATGAATTAAAAAGGAACAGTATTTAATTAAATATATTTATAACAGTATTTTAATTTAAATTTCTGCACTATGAAAGGTTTGTACTCTAAATTTAATGGCCCCTTCCAACTCTAAGATACTAAGACAAAATATAATTTAAATTAATAGGTTAACATGATGTCTGTTACTTTTCTCTTTTCACATCAAAAATTATTGTTGAAAAACTGAATAAATTAATGCTGCAAATTACATTCCTTTTTGAAGAATTTCCTTCCATAACAGCGGAAGGGGCACATATTACTGTATTTTAATCCATAGTTGAAGGTTACCAAATTGTTTGCATGTTCTGTTTATGGAACAGTTCATCAAGCCATGTTCCTCATGGATATTACCATACTGTTCCTTTGTAATGCATCTTGTGTTAGTATAGTAACTGGTATTTTGGCAGATGAAGTGCAGTATTTAATACAGTCAGAGTCATAAATTTGATTCTGTTGACCACATTTCCTCCTCATTTATATACTGCTGCAAATTAATTTAAATGGATTGTAATGATGTCAGGGCAATCTGAGCCTCTTCCTAGAATGTAGAAATCTGTGAAACAGTTTGCCTTTAGCAAAGAGTTCCCTCAACACTGTTGTCTAAGGGAAGTATTTATTTTTACTTCACCATCACATGCTATCACTGCTTGATAAGTTTACTGTTTTGTTTAAACCAGGCTATGAAGGCGATGGGAAAGTATGCACATTGATTAACATATGCTCAGTTGACAATGGGGGCTGCCATCCACTTGCTGTATGTAACAACGTATCAGGTAATATTGAAAACAACAACACTAAGTTTGTAGGAAGGCTATATCTAGCCAGCAAACGTTTCCCTTTCTTTATATAAAATAGTGCTTCTCAGTTTTAGGAATTTGAAGATGTGTAGACCTCCAATTCCCCAAATTTCCCACATATCCTAAAGATGATAGAGGTTGAGGAAAAATGATCTTCAAGACAAGATGGTACCCAATTTTCATTCTGAATTCCAAAGCTGGCAGTTAAATCTTAACTTCCAGAGCACTGAACTGGTTCATCTGACAAACCTTACTTAGAGTGCACAGGACAGACCACATAATTGGCACAAGTGTATCCTTCAGGTGGGCCCTGAAACAAATGAAATGAGAGCCAATCTTCAGGGCTGATCTTGGAGGAGTGCTCAATGAAAAGGGAAGATTATGAAATTGAACTAGAATCCTGAGAATCCTGAAATCTCCATTTAGCCAAAAAGATATGAGGGGTTTCTCAATCTTGTCAACTTTAAAATGTGTGGACTTTTAATTCTTTTAATTTTAAAACATTGAAGTTCACACATAAAGTTGTCAAAGTTGAAAAACTATGCCTTAATGGAACTTCTCCATTCCAATCGGAGGTTGGGGGCATCCATTTTATAATCTTTTAGCTTCAATATACAGAGGTCTTCTATATTGGTCAATATATTCAATATAGTCTTCCAAAATATATAGAGAGATTCCAATAAAACTTTACACTCTTCATCTGATTTATACAACAAAGAAGCTTTGTACTGAGGGCTAGCCCCAAACATTGTACTATATGAAGAGGAGCAACGTGCTGGTGTCTCCTAATATCCATTCAAAGTTTATGGAATACAATTCAGGTTTCTTTGGGAGAAACTTCCAAATTTCAGTAACGCCTCCATTCATCTTTTTAATAAAAAATACAGTAATAATGTTATATTACAGGAGCCATGGTGGCACAATGGTTATAATGTAGTACTGCAGCTAATTCTGTCCAAGTCAGGAGTTCAATCCTGACTGACTGAAAATTGACTTCCATCCTTCCAGAGTTGGTAAAATTGTTTACTCAGATTGATGCGGGCAATATGCTACCTCTGTAAATTGCTTAGAGGGTGCCGTAAATTGTTTAGAGGGTGCTTTATATACTATAAAGTGGCATATAAGTCTAAATCCTATTGCTATTGTTTTCATAATGTTTCATGTTAGCTAATGTGGCTACTCACTCTGGCTGGCTGGTCAGACATCTTGCCCTTTGGCATTTCCTATTACTTTCTTCTCGGTTCACAGCTATGGTCTCTTCATTTTGGGCATAGATGCTACTGTTAACATTTAGATACTCTCAGATAATGAAAAATTGTGATGTTATTAAAATAACAGTGCCCAAAGCAAATTCAGATGAATTTGACATCCTCTTTTTTTATTTATAGGCACTGTACCTAATTGTGTTTGCCCAGATGGATACACTGGAAATGGTTATGGTTCAAATGGATGTTTTGCCCTGAGCACCATATGCCAAACAAACAATCCTTGTGTAAATGGACAATGTCTTGTACGTGTTTTTAAAAGTAAATTTATGAACATAAAGTATTAAATCTTCAGTGCTGTTGTTAAACTTCGATTATATAGACTTTCACTTTCTCAGACCACATCTATCTTATCAATAGATATTCAAAATGTTACTCATCAATGTACTTTTGTTGTATGAATTATACTATATTATTATTATGCTAATGATATATTACAATGTATTATTATATTAACTTTTCTATTCTATAATATTTTCATTAGTAACTTTCCAAATATATGTTGTCTAGATTAAGATATTGCATTAAGCCAAAAGTAAACCAAACTGAGTTGTTTAGACAAGCAAAGTTATTAAGGCTTGGTGTCTGCCAACAAACCTAAAGAAATGAAAGAGCATACTGAGCTGGCCATAAGTCATGAAAAAGCCAGGGTTCTGGATTTAAACACAAACTGTGATTAAATAAGTCACGATAAGCAAACACAAACATATACACAGAATAAGAAGCAAACAAAGGTCCAGACTTTAATGTTTTGCTAGCATTCCTCCCACTGCCACCAAATGTTCAAACATAATCCCATCAAAATATGCAAAATATCGTATTAATTAGGGTTATATGCAAGATTGGCTGGTTCCTAAGCTTTCTGAAGATTCATGACGGAACATGTTAAAAAAAAAAACCCAAGTATAGCCTGAATTTAGTTCATGATAGCTCAACATGGATAGAATTACTGTATGAAAACGGGTCCTGCTGAGAAATGATTCATGTTTACAGCACTGCATTTATTTTTTGTTTGGGTTAATATTTACAGGATACAGCCTTTGGCTATAACTGTGAGTGTGATCCCGGTTGGATTGGTATCAACTGTTCAGAAAAAATTGGTGAGTGTTCCAGAAATCCATTTTACTGTGGAGGAAGCTGCATTACTGGAGTGAATGGCTACACTCGTGAATGTAAGGTAGTTGGACTGGACTGCAGCATCAAATATCCAGCAAAGTAAATGAATAATTCATTGTAATGCAGTATAATATCAATAGCAGTATGTAGAAGTTGTTGGTTCAATTAACCATTCCAAGGCTGGTATTCCCTAGACAAGTGTTTCTTAATCTTGGCTTCTTTAAGATGTGTGCACTTTAATCGAATTGTGTGGGGAATTCTAGGAGATCAAATCCACACATTCTTTTGCCAAGATTGGGGAAGTCTGCTTTAGGTAATTGGTCTCTTGTTAATGTGACTCATCACATTAGGAAGATTTAGGAAGAAAAATAATCTGAACAATAAGCATCAATCTATAGGTTGAATAGCTAGTCTGGCAAAAATAATAAATCCATTCAGTGCACTTCTAGTAGAATAGGATTAAAATCTGATATAAACAAGTTTTGAGTAATTAAGGAATCTTAATATAATTTTATAGAAAAACATTTTTAAATGTAAGCTAGGCTCTTAATGCAATGGTTTCCCTGTTGTTGGGTTATTTATATCTCTTGAGTTTTTTCTTCTTGCATATATTGTAATATCATGTAATAATATACTCAGTAAAACAAGTGAAATGGGAGCTATTTGTATATGGTAGCTTGATTGAGATATGGTTTACTCAGAATTCAGGCATAAAATACAGAATCACACATTCGTAGTTCCTATTCAGGAAGAATTTTGACAAAAGTATTCATACTATTTGGGTCCAGGCTATTTGAAGGACAGCAGCCTCATCCCACTGGGACTGCCTTGCCCCACGCTTGCTGCAGGCCCCGTCAGCTCAATTGTTATGAATGGGGAGTTCAGGAGAAGGATCTTCTCTGTTGCTGTACCTGTCCTCTGGAACAGGATCACTAACCTTTCGGACCTCAGGGACCACTAAATTCATAATTTTAAACCCCGCATACCACTAATATAATTTTTAAAAGATAAATAGTATTTAGTGCAATATAAAAAAGCAAATAATTTTTCTGCAGACCACCAAAATTTTCTCGCAGACCGCCAATGGTCCGCAGATCACTGGTTGGTAACTGTTGCTCTGGAACATCTTGCCCCCTCCTTAAGTGAGTTTGATTCCACCCCTCCTGACCTTGCAGAAGAGCCTAAAAACCTAGATCTTCTGGATAGCTTGGTGCTCCAATGAGGCAGTATCATAGTGGAGGTAGTTATTCATCAACACGATGGCCTCCGGATATGTTGGATTATAACTTCCTGGTTTTAGTCACCAAGGAACTATATATATTTTTTTCACCTTTCCTTCCCTTCATCCAAGTCTGATGAAGACAAAGTAGAAATGCTCTTCAGGGGTATTTTTTTTCTTGCATTTGAATAGTTTGTAAAAAATAGTTTGTACTTCAAATAGCTAACAAAATAATATGACCTATGGCCTATATTAAATATAATATTACTATTAGTGATAATAGTCACAATCATAGCCTTAATGAATGTGATGAAAATATTAAAACAAGAAGTAGGTAATTTTGTTAAGTTTTCTCCTTCCCCTCCTCTACCTCCTTCTTTCTCTCTTTAGAATGCGGTAAAGAACTGACCACTACGTATGGGACAATTAATTCACCTGGCTATCCTGGCAACTACCCTCCCAACAGAGATTGTTATTGGATCGTTTCAACTAATCCTGGTCTTCTTATTACGTTTGCTTTTGGCTTGTTGAGTCTTGAACATCATGATAACTGTACCCAAGATTATCTTGAGGTAAAAGTAATTTGAAAAATAATGGATAGCAACAGCACAAAAAATGAATTTAATTTCCATCACTTAAGCTAAATAGAAAAATTTTGTATATTATAGGAAGGGCTCATACATAGCATTTAATCTTGGTTGCCATGTTCTAGCCAGCAACATGCTAAGAAAATATTAAACAGAAGTTACAAATCATATCAGCTTAAACCTAGAAATCCTTGTGTCATATATGAACCTAGCCAAATACATTTCAGAGGTGTATCTGAAAAACTTTGCACAAAAATAGGCATTTAGATCTTGTTACATTGCATAAGAAATCTAATATGTCATTATCCCATTTTTCTATTAAGCTACCAAAACAAAACAAATATACTAACTAGAATTATTCTTGGTTAAGATTAGATATCTATCCATATTGCAAACAATGAAAACACTCTGAAGTTGTTACAAGTACCTCATCAAAAATACGTCAAATGAAAACTATTTTATAGAACATGCACAACAGGTCATTCTAATGTTGAATCATTTCAAACCCAGGCATGAATCAAAAGAATCATTGTGAAGGATGAGAAGATTTTAGAAAACATTTAAATGTTAAGTGCTTATCTCCATTTCCAAGAAAATAAGTATTTCTCAAGCACTTCTTGAATAATATGCAACACTGACCATATACAGAAAATAAACCTCTTATATTTAACCAGCTGCATCTTCGGAAGGGTTTATAATGTGAAATACTTTTTTTTAGCATCCATTGTTATTTTTAATTTTGGTATCATGCAATTCTTTAAGGATTGCTCAATTTAATAAATATCACTAGCTTTTTATCTAGAGTTATTGTCAGTGGCAGCCAGAGAAATCTGAAGTCCAAATCCGCAGTTCTTGAGTTTGAATGTAATGGGCATGGTCTTCTGTCTGAATATGATGGGAGAGAGTAGGAAGAAATATCCTTAGCTCATGAACACCCCTAAGAACAAAGGTTAGAGTCATAATTCAGGGGGAGTTTACGGTGGATTTATGTGTACAACCCTTACTCAAATTATTTTTTTAGTAGGCAGAAGTATGTGGATAAATGTATAGCTACAGGTATATTCTGCTTTTTCAAAAAAAAAATTCAAGGCGGCAAACATAACCAATGCAACTTTCTCCTGTTTTCCCCCACAACACCATGAGGGGCTGAATCCAAAGTCTAAATCCAGCCACCTTGAATTCCTTTCTATTCTTAATTTCCATGCATTTTCCTTAATAGTCACTTGGCAAGATTCTTGTAGAGAACATATGCTTGCAATAAATCTTTATAATACTTATTTGAACTTCCTGAATCTCCTGATTTCCTAGGCCTTTGACACTGGTTTCCAGTCTGGTGCCTTAACCACTAGGCCAAGTGGCTCTGCTTATTATTTTGCCTGCAATCAATGATACAAACATTAGATCAGTTGAGTAGCATCAAACAGAATAATAAGTATCTGCGTTGTTGAAATTAATTTATTATAGGCAATATGAAATATTGTAGAAAAAATAATAATAGAGAAAATAGATATGTTTTCAATGTTAGATACAGATGGTACGCCTACATTTGACAAAATATAACAAATACAGGATGACATGTTTTTGTTTAGATTCGAGATGGCCTTCTCTCACAAGATCCCCTCCTTGGGAAATATTGCAGTATTGGGTTACCACCTCCTCTTCAAACCACTGGTCCATATGCTTGGATACATTTTCATTCCAATGGTTTTGATAACAATAGAGGATTCCATATCACATATATAACATCACCCGGTAAGTATTTGTCCCTATCAGCCATCTTCTGGTGCCTTTCAGGTATGTTGGCAATGGAAACCCTAATTTTAAAATTCTCATCCCACAAGACTGCAGCAGGCTGAAGAAGACTATATATCATGTCTGGAGCAAAGCATACTGAGATACTCCTTATTCAGTGACTGTAAATGGGATCAGCAACCCCACTGCTATACAATGGGGTTGATAAGTGAAACATTACAGTTCTGGCTGCTGTTATTAAGGATGACATTATTTGATTGCAACTTGTAACTTCTTGCTGGTATTCCCATTGACTTTGCCTATCAGAAGCTAGCTATGAAAGTCATAAATGACAAACATGTGACTGCACAATACTGTGACCTTTATAAATGCATGCCAGTTGTTGAATGCGATCGCATGATTGTGTAGTTGCTGCCATGGTCATTGGTTTGAAGACTGGTTATATTTTTCAGTGCTATTTTGAGTAATATTTTTTAAATACTCTTCTTAATGTAGTAGATCCTAACTGTGGAGGAAATTATACAGATAGTAGTGGGGCCATCATGTCTCCCTACTGGCCCAATTCTTATCTGAACAACAGACAATGTATTTATATCATTCGTCAGACACCCAATGAAAAAATATACTTGAATTTCACACACCTAGAGCTGGAAAGACATCCTAACTGTTCCCAGAACTATATTGAGGTAATTATTAGTTTCTATTTTTTAAAAAATGATGAAGGACAGTGCTTGGTTTCAAAATGTTTTACTACCTGTTCTGTGGGCATGGCTTGGTGGGTGTGGCAGGGGAAGGATACTGTAAAATCTCCAGTCAGAGGTGGTATTTGCCGGTTCTCCAAACTACTCAAAATTTTCACTACTGGTTCTCCAGAACAGGTCAGAACCTGCTGAATACCACCTCTGGTGAAGGACAAATTTGATAAATCTAAATCGGGGACTAGTTCTCTTTTCTCTTCTTTTCCCCAGAAATGAAAGAAAGGGGGCCTTGGGGCAATTAGCTTGCCTCAAGGGTCTAGAAGATATTATTTCCATTTCATTGTGATCTTGACATCAACCAGCTTTCTGGGGAAATTATATCAGGGGAAAAGTTTAAAGCAAAAAACAATCCATTTTAGCCTAAGAGGTGTGACTAAATGGTGTTCCTGATGATATCATGGTATCACCAGAAAGTATTGGGTTGATATTTTTGGGCAGTATATTGCAGGATTTGGAAACTGTTCAATTTAGGCTGCTTGAAGAATTTTAAGGAGTGAAATGAATGTCTTAAAATTCTCTCTGTCATCTTTTAAGTTATTTAAACATCCCAAACACTATGGAAAAATAGAAATGTTATTGTTCATTCTGAGGAGCTATTAGAAACCTGTAAACTGCTGTTAACTATAAACTGTTTTTATTCAGTGGAAAATTTTCTAGATATTACTGAAGAGGTTTAAAACTGTGAGAGAGCAGGAAAAGTAAGCCATCTATTCATAAAAAATATATTACAGGAACATATATACAAAGATATATGAGAGATAATCAGTTTTTAAAGTGACTTTTTTTGCCACTTTTCTTGTCATATTTGTTAAGTGAATCTCTGTAGTTGTTAAATTAGTAACATGTAGTTGTTAAATTAGTAACATGGTTGTTAAGTGAATCTGGCTTCTCTCTTGGCTTTGCTTGTCAGAGGTTGCATAAGGAATTTGTTTCCAGTGCATAAGCTCATAAGATACATATAAACACCAGTAATAGATTATAGATCATAGTTACAATCATTAATCAGAAGTTACAAACAATTGATAAATCATAAAAAACAATAGAAGATAGTAGTAAAAAAGAGAAGATGAAAAAGATGAGAAATAAAACAGTGCTGTGGGAATTAAATGCTCGGCAAACTGATGGCATGGGGGGAAAAACTATCTTTGTATCTAGTTGTTTTGGCAGGCAGTGCTCTGTAGTGGTGTCTTGAGGGGAGAAGTTGAAATTTACAATGTGATCCAGCTATTTTAAGATATTCTTAAAAAAGAAACACATGAGGAACATATGACAGATTTCCTTCAGCTAATTGGAGAAAGTTATCATATGATCTTGGCTTGAGGTAATTAAAGGCAATCCCCCAGGACTTAAAGGGACCTAACTTTAAAGATGGATGAATACTTTTATTCAAGACAGTAACATTTAACAAAATGCAATAGCAATTTCTGCATAATTCTATGTATTGGGAGTTCAGTGAAAAATATAAAGAAATATTTTATTATAAGATGTTATGTAAAGGAAACACAGATAGTTCTTGACTTACAACCATTCCTTGTAAGTAGTGATCATTTGAACCTACAAGGCCCTGAAAAAAGTGACACTTTTCACATTTACGACCATTTCAGCATCCCCAGGGTCATGTGATCAAATTTGGATACGTGGCAACTGGTTTATATTTATGATAGCTGCACTGTCATGTGATCACATTTTGCAACCTTTTGACAAGCAAAGTCAATGGGGAATCCAGATTCTCTTAACAACTGTGCTACTAACTTAATTGCAGTGATTCACTTAACATCTGTGTCAAGGATTGGCGCAAAATTCACTTGAAACTGTCTTGCTTAGCAACATAAATTTTTGCCTCCATTGTGATCATAAGTCAAAGACTGAGTATTTTTTCTCCTTGGGTTCCTCAAAAGATCCTGCGTTCAGACCTTTAGAGAAAAGTGCTTGAATTTTATTGAAACTGTTACAAGTCTAGATTTGGTTCATGTTATTTGCACCCCAATGATTCAACCCATTTGGGGATTGTTGGCCCTTGACTGATCTCATGACAATTATTTCTGTGGTTGGAGTTGGTTTAGTTCGGGTTCTACTTCAGATTCTTTGAAACAGCGGTAGATGCTGCTCTTTCTTTTGAATTGTTCTGATTCTGCAGAACTTGAGAACATCTGTTTCTCCAAACAGCTCTTGCCTACTTCCTGGTTCAGCTCATATGTTATTCTTTGTTTTTCCCCTGACTATTTCAGTGCTTTTACTTGTGCTTGGCAAAGCAGCATACAAAAGTACAGAAATACAACTGGCTCACATTTATGATGGTTGCAGTGTCCTGGGATCATGTGATCCCCTTTTGTAACCTTCTGACAAAGGAGCAAAGACAAGGGAGAAGCCAGATTCACTTAACAACAATGTTATTAACTTTACTACAGGGATTCACTTAACAATCATGGCAGGATAAGTGGTAAAACAGGGCAAAACTCACTTTAAAAATGTCTCACTTAACAACATAAATTCCAGGCTCAGTTATGGTTTGTAGGTTGAGGACTACCTGTACTTTTTATTAAATACATATGCAAAGTCATCACAGTCCCTCAAAAAAACAAAATTCAAAGTTCTAGTAATATATTTTATTTCTTTTATATATGGAGTTGGGATAAGGGAATTTTGTTACTCCACAAATCTTAGTGGCTCTGAAGGTGGGTCACAGATTGGGTGATCTTTTTTGCACTTTCTTCTTCCTAGTCTGTGCATTTTGAGTCAGCAAATTGGTTCCATATGACTTTTTCAGTTGAAACACCGAGAAGGAAATGTCCTTGGTTGTCTTTATTTAAACTTGCCTTGTGAGAAATGTTGAAAAAGATTTATGTGAGCTAATATCTAGAAGGATATTAGCTCACATAAATAAAAAAGATGTATGTGAAAAAATATCGAGAATGTATAGATTTATTTCTTCTTTCCTTCTTTCATAAGCAGAATTTGTTTCCAAAATCTGACAGAAATCTGATATAAAAATGAAAACAGAAACATTTATTTATTTGGATTCATAATTTCCTTCTCTGGTTGTTGGCAAAATCATAGTAACATGCCCTAAACCAGATGGAACAAAAACAATTTTAATAAGGAACAATAGGTTTAATTTAGCAAGGCATTTCCTTTGTCTTCTGGGAATTAATTCCAGAGATTATAGGTTTGCCTGCTTGAATCTTGTGTCTCTTCTGGAGGTTCCTTTCACCCTCTCTGAACCTCCACACATCCACCCGGCTGAGAACTATGAGTATAGAAAGCTAAACAAACACTTAGAAATTCAATATTTTTGCTATTTGGAAGCATAGGAACTTGATTGGGCAGAATGGAAAATAGCCTCCTTTCTTGCAAGGATCCTGAAAGACTATCTGCTAGATCATTGGGTTTTCAAATGTGGTGACTATAGGATACTTCTGAGAAGAGTCTCCAAGGCCACACATCTTGAAAAATCATAAATTTCTCATGGGCCTCAGAGCAATAATGCAATATTGCTCTCTGAAAGCGCTAAAGTGTTTAGAATCAAATATGCAGCTGTCTATTTTAGCATGAGTGGGAGATATTTTGGTCTTTGAAACAATAACAGTGCCTGGGAGTTCTGGCCCTTCCCTCTAAAACTCCAGATAATATATTTATCTGTGCTCTAATGCAGGGGTCACCAACCATTTGGACCTCAGGGACCAGAAAACTCATAATTTTAAATCCTGGGGACCAGAGTCCATGGGAAAATCCTCCAGAAAAGTCTGCAGGAAAATCCCCCACCCCATTTTCCTACTGATCGATCATTCTTTATTTGGGATCGCAGGATACCATCTCCAGCTCCATTCTTGGGTTAGGGGGGAGAGAGGGGCTTTTGGCTTCATGCAAGGAAAACAGCAGAAGTCTTCCTTTCTTTCCTCCACACTCCACCAGAAATGAGTCTTTGTGAGACTTGACATGCTGGCACAGCCTCTTGGGACAGGATACCTTGCAGGGTCCCAAAGAGTCATTTCTGATGGAGTTTGGGGGAGAGAAAGAAAGACTTTTGCTGCTTTCCTTGCATGCAGCCAAAAGCAGAAGCAGAAAGAAGCAGCCTGGTAACCAGGTAAGGCGCATGGGATGAATGGGGCAAGTTCCCCCCTCTGCCCTTTCCTCCCTCCCCTCATTCCCTCGTGTTGTTCACAATGCAACCAATGCAAGCCTTGTGTTCCCCCAGGCCATGTGGGCAGCACAGCCTTATGTTCCCGTGCAGCCTGGATTAATTGCTTTGGGGGGTGCTTTGGGGGTGACATTTCTCTGCGGACCACCAAAATTTTCTCACAGACCACCAGTGGTCCCCAGCCCACTGGTTGGCGACCACTGTTCTAATGTAAACCCAATCAGAGAATAACCATTGGAAAACACTGATAATTTGCTGTTAACAATTGCAACAGTGGCTGCATTACAGGTAGTCCTCAACTTACAACAGTTCCTTTAGTGACTGTTCAGTGTTACAATGGCACTGAAAAAAGGGACTTATGACCATTTTTCACACTTATGATAATTGCGGCATCCCCATGATCACATGATTTATATTCGGACGTTTGACAACTGACTCACATTTATGATGGTTGCAGTGTCCTAGGATCATGTGATCTCCTTTTGTAGCCTTCTGACAAGCAAAGTCAAGGGAGAAGCCAGATTCATTTACCAACCATGTTACTAATTTAACAACTACAATGATTCACTTAACAAATATGGCAAGAAAAGTAGGAAAATGGGCAAAAATGTCACTTTAAAAATGTCTCACTTAACAACCTAAATTCCAGGGTCAATTATGGTTCGTAGGTCGAGGACTACCTGTACTTTTTATTAAATACACATCCAAACTCATCAGAATTCCTCAAAAAGCACAAATTACTGATTAGATGGTACATTACTTGCACATGCTTTTGGATATGGTACGTATC